GATAAGGGACATTTAAAGAAATTGAAAAGTCATAATAAAACAGAAGAAAAGTTGATATGGGAGAAAAGATGACACATAATTCACCAGAACAGAAAACCCTAAGTAGAATGGAGCCATCTCAGGTGACAATTACTTTGAAGGAGTCAATTAATGTGGCAAAGCACATAATGCATATTTTATATGTTTACTTCCTTTAGGAGAATCATAYATCCACTTCCTAAATCAGGCATATATGGCCATATGACTTGCTTTGATCCATGAAAGCAGCACTGGGAGTGATGTACATCACTTCCAAGAAGACGCTCTAAGAGTTTAAGCCTCCGTTTCCCCAAGTTCTGTTTCCCTGTGACCAGGACAATCAGAAACTCTAGAGACAAAATTATTCTATGAGTTTTAGTTACAGAATTCAGACACCATGGAGCAAAGCAATAGCTAACCAATGATGACCATACAATATGAAGAAAAACTAAAGTATGAAGATATGCCATTGAGATTTGGGCTTAGGAATCATTATTTCTGGGCAACCTAATATATGATTACAGATGCAGAAAATAAAGAAATTTTCACAAAGTACAACAGACCCTTGCTAGGTTTTGATGATTTACATCTTTGTAGTAGTATAAAATTAAACACATTTAGTAGAAACAGCACTTTGATTTTTGATTTTTAATCATTTCCTGGGCTAGTGATAACGTGGAACGAAACTCTTTAGAGGCACGGAGCTGTGGAAGAAAACCACTGTCCCCAGTCACACAATCACAAGTTAAACGACCAACATTCAGTGTACTGGATTGCTAAGCTATGGTGTTGGGTAAGTTGTGTACATTAAGTGAATTTTTAACATAGGGCATTTTTCAACGTATGATGGGTTTATCAAAATGCAATCCCATCATAAGTTGAGGTGTATCTGTTATCTTAACTTAAATAAATAGGGGTCAAGAAATGTCAGCAAATCAAGATAATATTCACAGAGAAGATAGCATCTAATGTTGTATTGGTCAGGATCCAACCACAAAACAGAATTATTGTAAGTACTTAGAACAAAAGGAATGTATTGCAAAGAGTTGACTGAATAAATGTTAGAAGAACTAAGAAATCAATTAGGTGAATGTGAAGTAGCCAGAAACAGACAACTACAGGAAGCCACTACCAACCCTGGTTGAAGAAAGTGAGAAAGAAAAGATGCAGTATAACCAGAGCTCAGAAGGTAGAGCTACCTGGCAAAAGTTAGACCCACTGCAGAGCTATCCAGCAGAACCTGGAGGCTTAGAAAGGGTGTGGCCACTTCTAGACACTTCCCCAGAAGAGAGGCAGAGGGAGTCACACAGTGGTATCTCCTTCCCCACTGGACTTCCCAGGGGGCAGAACCAGCCCAATCAACTGACCTGTGAGCATAAGAAACACAACTTACAGTGATGGACAACATAACCTCTTACTTCCCCAACACAAGGGCATGGGATGGACCTGAGGGCAAACGGTCCCAAGATTGGCACACACCAAGGTCTGAAGGCAGAAAGTTGCAAATGCTTTAGGTAGAAAGAAATTTTAGTTTTCATTAAGGTGGAAGAGTTTTAGTAGAAAATGAACTTAGCTCTGAATTCAGGGTGGCTAGAGCTGGGARCACATATGGAGAAAGGATTATTGATGGCACATGTGAGCAAGAACCAGATCATGGAGGGCTGCGTAAAAATAGACTGCCTAGAGTCTGTGGTATAAGGGGGAAATTACCAGCTAGGTACCCAAAATAAAAGTAGGACAAACTGRAAATCTATTCATTGCTTTATTCATTCTTTTCAACGGTCACTACACATTAGGACATTCAGCTGTAACTGGGTAGAATGTGTTTCATCTAGGGAGGATGGGCACACCAAACTCCTTCCACTGCTATCTTCTCTCTCTTTATCCTGATGTCACACCAAGTGAGAYAGGGCCTCCTGAAAGGCAGAAGAACAATAATAAAAATAAGAGCAGCTTACATGTAATTAGCCCATTTATAAAAATTGCCACATTTACTCTTCCGTTTGGCCACCATTTTTCTGACCTGGAAACAAAGGCTCAGCGTGGTTACATCCCATTCCAAATCCCCAAGGGGGTGAACRGTGACTCCACAACTGGAAAACAGTTCTCTGCCACTCAAAAACCTTTTCTATACTTGTAGAAATTACACCTTCCTTGAGATTCCAGGAAATACAAATTTCACAAATACAATCAGTAAGGGAGAAGTGCACATCTACAGTTGAGAACAGGGTGGGGTGGGCATTGAGAGAGACCAAGCCCTCCCCGTGGCAAGTGCAGCTGCCCCCCTAGATGCAGTTACCAGCAGTTTCTTCACAGCTTCAGAAGCTTCCGGTCCCAGTTCATCCACACACTTCCTCAGCCCTTCTACAAGGTGCTCCACAGAAATGCCCAGAGTTTTCAGAAGCATCTTTAATGGATCCATGAAGGAAAGAACATTGTCCAGAGGCAAAGGTAACACTTTGTCAACAGGAAGGGGCACACTGTTGATGAGAAAGGCAGCAGCTGCAGAGCAAAAGAAACAGGTGAAGCAGGCACATCAGCCCCCAGCTATGACCTATGACCTCGCTGCTTCCATCCGCCCATCAACAGCTYGTCTCAGAGACACTCATCTTGATTTCCCAGGGAAAAGTCTCTCTGGACCTCTATGCTTGCTGTTCCATTTCCTCAGAATATTCTTTCCCCTGATAGATGCAAGTCTTTCTTCTTCATGTTACTTGGGTTCTTTTCAAATGTTACCTCCTCAGAGAAGCCTGGAATGGCCACTTTATCTAAAACAGCACCACCTACCACCCTCCATCCTTCTTTGCTTTTTCTAATTGTTACTTGAACTATTAAATCTTTATTTGTCATTTGTATAGGCTTTATACTCTCATTAGAATGTAGGCTCCATGAGAACAAGAACTAATGTTTTGTTTATTACTATATCCCAGGCCTAGACCTGACCTTGGAATGCAGCAAGYGCTCAGTAGATACTGGTCAGTAAATGGACAGCAAGGTATTTCTGTACGTGGCTGTGTCCATAGTTCACAGCTTTCAGGCCAAAGAGGAGATGGCATAATGAATYTCCACTCAAGGAAAAGAGGAGCAAATCACAGCCCCAAATGTTCTTCCACCCAATTCAACTCAATGCTACAACATACAGCTGGGGCAGACACATCGACAAATAGGACAGAGATGATCCACTCAGAAAGCTAACACAGTCTAGTGGAGCATCAGGATCTATGCATGCCACAAGGTGGCATGCGGTATGCTAACACTATGGACAACGCTCTGGAAACATAAAGCAAGGGAATAATTCTAATGTGGAAGAATGTTGCAGAAAACTTATCAGAAGAAGTGTTAGAGCCATGTCTTGAGGACAACAAGGTGAAGAAAAGGAGAGGTATTTTAGGAACAAGGTCAACAAATGCACTGAGATGGTAAGATGAAAGTCCACACACAGAATGGTGAGCCTTCTGCCCAGAGAGGCTGGGGTGCAGAACTCCAGTGGGCTACGGTGGAAGATAAAGGAGCRAGGCTGCAAAACTTGAGTGAAGTCAGATTTTTTAAATAACAACAAAGGAYTATCAAGGCTTTCACCTGGGATGACTGCACTCTACATCTTTGACTTTAGGAAGACAACTTTTGCAAAGAAGATGAATGAGAGGAAAAGAATAGAGACCGTAAAAATAGGCACCATGTATAYTTTTTACAAAAACATGCACATTTATAAATGTACTCATGTGCATGAGCATACAAATAAGAATATGCATCTTCCTGCTGGCTACAGCCTGCCACACTTCATTTTGCTTTGGAAAATTTATTTCTTCATTAAAATTATAAAAAGGGAGGKTGTGAATATACTCTGCCTTCATCTTCTATCATATATTTTCCTTCCCAAATTCTCCCCAACGAGAGCTACTTATTTCCCCCATTCCCCTTTCTGATGCTACACTTGCCCATAATATTTGCCCTTGGACATGAAAGAACAACAAAATATTTGAAACTGGTAAAGTAATAAATTCCTCTAAAAATTCAATAAAGTTGCCAGCATAAGTGGACACAGCCCCTGGTATCTCATGATTAATCRTCATACTTCTTATTTTAGACATTTTGGTGAATTATTTCTCTGTATGTGTTTACATCTTCCCAGGGGAACATCTTCAAAGCTTTCTATTCTCTCAATGAAAATTGACCATCATGAAGCCTTTTCTGATACACTCACATATATCCTGAGAGTAAAAATGATTTCTTCCAGAATGAATGGATCATTCCTATTGTCCTCCAGGAAGTCAGATTTTGTACCCATACTTGGAAACTAAAATATTCACTTCTCAGTACACCCACCTCCATCCATCTCTCTCATTTAGCATTCACAGTAGTGCAGTATTTTTGTAACTTCTGTAAAAGGTCTGTATACCCTGCCAGACTATCAGAACCTTTAGAATAATCTTCATGTCTAGTTCATGCCTGAGTCTTCCAATGCTTATTYAGTGCCAAAATTTTGTAGTCCCTCAATAAATATGTGTTGAATRGGTGAGCAGATAAATGAAGCTGTTYAGGAGAGCCATCCTTGCAAATGGCTAATTAAGATGACAGCAAGAATGATTTCACATAGTTTTAAAAGCAGATAGGGAAAAAAAGTTGATTCAATATTAAGATATTGACTCAATATTAAGGAAAACTAATGGTGACTAATATTCCATGGTGAAAAGTSCTATGTTGGTGCTCAGTGGGAGTTGGCTAATTTCCCATGCAGGATGCACTAGGGGTAATGCCTATATTGGGTTAGAGCCTGAATGATGGAGGAACTGTGAAATCTTCCAACATGACCATTTTCTGTGATTCTAAAACTCCTTCCACCACATTCCACTGTCAGTGATCCAGGCTTACCAGTTGTGTTCTAATTAACAGATTAGTACAGACATATCCTATGTTCCAGACTACTTACCAGGGTAACTACAAAGGCTGATGGTCACCAGCAGAAAGATGGTTACCAGCTTCATGGCAGMTATCTATGATGATCTCCTGGAGTTCAGAATTCCACTAATCAAGAGTGATTTTCCTTTCCATACACAGTGGGGCGGCTTCTTTTGCACACACATGTATTTATGCATCCACTGAAGACCTGAATTTCAGTCACTGCCATTTGACACACTCCACCAAAGAAGAGCAGGAAGGTCATGTTTCCTCACTAAACAAATTGCATGGTTTCCCCTCTCCCTCCTGTTCCCACGAGAAACAAAGCCCTAAATGAAAGCACTCAAGTACCTCTTTCGAGAGCCCTTGTGCAGAGGTCATAATGGAAAGCAAAGAACCCTGAGGCTCCTTCTACAGGAAGAACATGAAAGAAGTGTTTTCTTCCAGAACTCTACATATTCCTCCATTTTTTTCTAGGCAYTTAAAGTTTAGAGAATCCCATTACCTGCTTCCTTGCTGTGGAAGCAATCAGGAGGCCACCTTGGCCCCATTACAGAGTCAGCTTAATGACATTTTTGTTGTTTCTCTGGAATTCATCAGTTCATCCACATCACACATCTACTATACCAACATCACCAGTTCCCTGATCTTTCTAGTATCCTCTGATTAGCTGGGGAATCTTCAGGGTGTTTCTTCTCAATGTGCTCACACAGAACAATAGGCTYGGGATCTAAAAATCAAACTGCCTTTTTACAAACCTAGGATTCTGTTTTTGTCATTTGTATCACACTGGATTAGACATTTAAAATCTGAGATGTACGAACCTGGAAAAAAATGGGTTTGGGCTAGACCCTGCCTAAACAAATTATATGAAGCATATAATTTGGGAGCGTTCAGGCAGTCTAATCCTATGCAATCATACATGTGTGTGTGTGTGTGTGTGTGTGTGTGTGTGTTTGTGTGTGTGTGTGTGTACACAGACATATTTACACCAGTGGCTGTGGGAGCAGTCTGTTTCCTAATTACACACAGAGAATTGCTTCTCSCTTCTGACYTCTGGAACTAGGTACTGCATGGGATCCCAGGATGACTTCATCTGTAAGTAAGCACATGTACTTCTTTGGGAATCTTGTTGAGCTTAAACACAAGGAAGAGGGGAAGACGATATGTTAAAGGAAAAAACAGAAAACAGAGCTCATGTGGTCCCAAGCACCAGTTCAGAACCCCTTGGCTAAGTGGCCCTGTTGGCTCCAGCCATCCCCCAAAATAGAGAGGAACCCAGAAAATTTTGAGGAGGCACACTATAGTGTTAGTCTCTTAATGTATAAGCTTAGAAGTTGGAATCTAACTTACCCCCATCTGAGGGCATATATTATTATTAGGATTTAATAAAATTATACAGATGAGCATGTAGCTGTACCAAAGTAAGGTTAATGTTTAATGTCACCTGTTATTAATTCCTATGAGTTATAAATTGAAACTGCCATTTATTTAACTTTATGCTGCTTTATACATTGCATGAAAGAGACCATGGATTACTGTGATGCATACTCAATCCTGAAATACCCACTGTTTTTCTCTGCCAGATACTGCTCTCTCTGGCCTATCCCAGCTATGTCAGTGATGTAGATGTGCCAGCTCTCCAAAGGCCCAGGTCATGTGGTGAAATGGTAGAAAACTTGATGCCATCCCTGACTCTGGTACACTAAACCAGCACTGCCCTTGTCAGGGCTGCCATCTGCTCATTTGCTTTTCCCCTGGACTTCCCTACCCTCCTCTGTATCACAGAAAGTGGAGTTTTCCAGCTGGGCCCGATGGTGAATGACTAATGCCAGCACCTTTGAGTCTGAGGTAGAAGGATCACTTGAGCTCACAAATTTGAGACCAGCTTAGGCAAACTTAGCATGACCTTATCAAAAGAGGAAATAAATAGAACAAAGGAAGGAAGAAAGGATAGGAGGGAGGGAGGAAAGGAAAGGAAAAGAAAGCAGCATTTTCCAAATTGTAATTCCCAGCTTCCTTGCTGGAATGTTCAGCTGGTGGAAGGCACTGGTTGACTGGTAGAAGATTGGAGGCAAAGAGAAAGGGAAAGGCCAGGTGTATCTCTCTCTCTCTCTCTCTCTCTCTCTCTCTCTCTCTGTCACTCAGGAAACATCCTGGGGAATTACTGCACTTTCTCCAAGCCTCCAGCACCTTCCTCTGTGTTTCCTCTATGCCAGCAGACAGCAGACTACAATTATTCAGTTTCTACTGCAGAACCCCAGCTCCTGGGTGCCCTCCTCCTGGAAGAGGAGCAGGAGTAAAATGCTATACTGGTCTGGAAGCAGTATWGAATCCTCCCACATTTCTTGGGGCCAACTTCTCTCCCCTTTGGTCACTTTAATTGTATTCTTAGCACCCTATAAATTCTCTTCCATATTATCTTCTTTCTCTTTGGTTACTTGGAATGGTTTTGGCTTTCTGGCTGGACTCCGAACTGATTCAGCATCACAAAATATTATACCACTTTGAATTAAAGTAGATCTTTCAGTTTTTGAACATAGATTTCTGTCTCATGAGTGATAAGTTGTGAATCCATGAGGAGCAGGACCAAGAGAAATACAGCATTACACACAGAGAATTGCTTCTCCCTTCTGACCTCRGAGCAGTTTACASGGTCTCAAGTTTCTCTGTTGGTCCTGGRGGGTGAGTTCTTTCCCAGGAGGCTCCATAGACCTCTATGCAAACAGACTGCTGGTGGTTACTTCACTCAAAATGCACACACACTCAAAACACCCACAGGTGTCCACACACTTACACATGTGTGAACAAAGGTGAGTATGGACACCCTCAGATCACACAAACATCCATCCAGCACTGTTGTTGGTACTCAGTTATTCAACAAAAGTGTACTGACTGAATGTCTGTGTGTGCCAAACATTATGCCAGGAGTTAGAACTAGAGCACCATATCAGACATGCAAATTYGCTGCCTTCTTGGAGCTGGTAATTTAATGACATAAACAGACAATAAGCAAGTAAACAAGCACACTGAATAACCCGTGGTAGGTGTTACGGAGAAGCAAACAGGGTGCAGTGGTAGGACCTGTGGGTTGAGCACCTTTGGACCTGAGAAGACTTGGACTTGGCCACTTCTGTTTCTCCTATGTTCCAGACCATTACCTGAATCATGTCTTTTTACTCCATATTTTTGATACTTAGACCTCTTGGATCCTTGCTGGCCCTGAGGAGAATGCCCCACCCAGGGTAATTTCCAGCCAGAAAGTACCAAAGTTTTCAGAGGTTAGAAGGGAGAAACTTTCTCTGTGTGTGATGCTGTATTTTTTTTTGGATGGGTCTTGCTCCTCAAGGATACTTCATTTGACACTTAGAGGTCCATATTTAAAAACTGAAAGATGTACTTAATTGAAAGCTTTATAATATTTTATGGTGCTGAATCAGTTCAGAGTCCAGCCAGAAAGTCAAAATCACACCAAGTGATTAAATAAAAATTCCTAAAGGTGGCAACAACCCACCCATGAGTGTGCCTTTCATGTACAAACCAACCAGCCCAGAGCCCAGCCCYAGAACCGTTACTATGCTCTATAGTACTCTGGGCCTCTATTCCTCTCTGCTTTACTCATCCCAAGAAGAGGAATTAACAGAGGTGCCCCTAGATCTCAAAGCCCACTGAAATTTTTCAAAATCATCAGTCTTTAACCTCCTTACCCTGTCTCCTCTGTTCCTTCTCTTGGAAACCACCATCAGGACTCCTGCCCACATCTTCTCTAATCTCTCTGCCTCCTGGCTGAACCCTCCCTGTGGTGTGGTGTGCTCACTGTGTGAGGATTGGTGCCTGTGTTGAACATCTTTACAATGGCTGCCATCTCYTCATCTGTTGGCAAGAATAATTATACAATGTATATTTTAAAAACAGCCATCTAATCTTTTGGTGTGTGTCTTAGTTGCAATATTGCTAAGCCTTTCTTTGCAGCATAATTATCCACGTCAGCATCTTCTTTCCAAGCATTGATTTGCAAACATCTTGAGGGGCTTGTCTGGATCCTAACACAGCTCCACACCATTGGCCATATTGTTAGGAACCATTCCTCAGAGCCAGGTGCTACACATGGTGTGTGTTATTACTTTCGTCTTACAAAACCTCTGATGATAAGAATTTTCATCCCATTTTAATAATGAGAAACCTGATCCTGGAAGCCCTGAGTTCATTGTAAAAGTCACATAGGTAATAAATATTGCAGCCAGAATTTGACTTCTTTCTTTTCTGATTCGAACTTACTACCTCTAATTAATTGAGATGCATTTCCAACAAGCACTTGTTAAATAATTAATTCATTGAAGACAAATGGGAAYCAAMGGAAAYGAATGTCAGTGTTTTCCAATTAATTTGGATGTGCTTTCCACATGCAACCTTTGTAGAAATTAAATCTATAATCAGAATGGAAATTCACCTAACTGGTCAACAAGTAYTTACTGAGAATCTCTGGTTTTCCCAGCTCAGTGGATTCTGGGATTATAGCAGTAACGCAAATGGGCCTTACTATTGCCTCCTTTAAATATATCAAAGAAAAGTGTTAGAACCAAGTCAATGTGTCATTTTTTATCTCTCTCTGAAGAAAATAACATTTATAAAAATGCCAACTGAATACATATATAAGACACTGGACAGAAAAGAGAAAAAAATGGGCCTGAGAGTTCATCCAACACTTTTCTTCTGGCTGAAAAGGAGACAGTCTTTGGTCAGTCACACTGGAATTGTCAAAGAAGCCTTTATTCTCTTTTCCCTTCTATTTGCTGCTAATTGTAATGGTCTAAAATGGCCCCAATATAAGCCTATCTAAGAGGGAGGAGAGAATCATAAAATTTATCTTTAGAAACAAGCTTTGGCCTTGGCCCAGTCTTTCTTGGATGTGTGAGCTCTAGGCCCCTCAACAACAAACTGCACATTCATCATACAGGTGCCACTCAAAGAACATCAAAMGTTCATGTGCACTTTGCCAAGTTATAGGACCTCGATTACTGCCTTGGCCATAAATCACTTCCCCTTTCTAAATGTTTACACTCACTAWGATTTTTTTTTTTTTTAT